CCAAATCTACGAACCCCGTACGAACTGGTGTCAGAAGAAAGAAAACGCAACAATTGGTGTCAGAAGTGGAATTTGCGGGTGAATGCCAGTGACCCGCCTGCAGAGGAAAGCTATGGCGGAGTAAACGAAGACTTTGATGGAGTTCTTAGCCAAGATCAGAGCCGGTCAGAAGAAGTTGAAAGCCAGATGTGTTGAGATAAAAGCCCGATGTGCTGAGATAAAAGCCGGATATGATGAATTAAAAGCTGGATATGAAGAGATGACAGCTGGACGAGATGGGATGAAAGCCGACCGAGAACAGGTGATAGAGCAACTCCAACAGCTGAAAGTGGAGCTTGCAGAAGAAACTGGAGCCTTAAAAGAAGACATGAAAATGACAACGGTGGCACCTGAAGAATCAAAGGATGAAGAAATGAAGGAAGTAGCTAATGAACTGTCTGAGAATGATCAAGAAATGAAGGATGAAAGAAACATCTAACGGGATTAAAGTGAATGAACGAAAACATGAAGAAATAAAAGACGCGAAAGAAGCTTTTGATTCTCAAGTGCCTGAAGTAGAAATAGAAGAAAGTGAAAATGCAAGATCGTAGAAACTGATAGTGAAATTACAAAGTCGCAGTTAGCAAGTATTGAAACATCTGAAAGTTCATCTGATACTGAGATGGAAGAAGCTGATATACAACTTACGCAAAGTGCTCCAGTATTGCGAGAAAATTGACTCATTTCGCAAACTACTATGTGTGTGTCTGATAGTGCAGATTGTGTAGACACGGACTTGATTCTATACCAGGATACTTCTGTTTGTAAAGAATCGGGTTGCGTTCATGAGTCTGATGCAGAATTCGGAACTGAATTTCAAGAAATAGAGGTAAATAAGCATAGAAACCGTCGAGAGAAATAGAAAAATTAGAGGTTCGGTTCGTACCAGTGTAACAAAATTAATAAGGAAATTGGAAGAGGAATTGCAAAGCGAGAATCCGAACCTAGAAGTGTTGCAGGAATCGCTTTCAGTGTTAATCGAGAGAGAAACTAGCTTGTTAAAATATGATGAAGTTATTAATGCTCAAAGCACTGTTCAGGAATTAGAGACAGAAGTAGAATGTTAGAATACAGCGAATCCATCATTAGATGTAAATCGAAAGTCAATAGATATATTCAAAATGTGGGTAAAACCGGAACAACTTCACAAGTTTCGGAAATCAAAACTAATTATAATACTAAATTGGCTCGCATTACCTTAGAAACTTTGAGCGGCGATTTATGTAAATTTACTGAATTTTGGGCTCAGTATAAAGCTGCCGTTCACGAAAACAATACGCTTCAAGATGTTGAGAAGTTTAACTATTTAAGATCTTTACTCACCGGTTCAGCTGCAAAAGCTATAAGCGTATTGCCATTAATAGGAGAAAACTATATAAAGGCCATTGAAATTTTAACTGACAGATTTGGGAAAAAAGAAATATTAGTTAGCGCGCATATGAACGTTCTCCTAGCTTTGGAGCCAGTACGCCGTTCAAGTGATGCATCCAGTTTAAGAAAACTATATGATGAAATAACAGTTCAAACAAGAAGTTTAGAGACATTAGATAATAATTTTAATTCTTACGGCAATCTATTACTTCCTATTTTATATAAATGTATACCGCAAGATTTAGTGTTACAGTTTAGTAGGGAGCAAAAGGTCGGCACAGAGTCAACAGTGTCAGATTTATTGTTGTTTCTAAAGAGAGAAATAGAAGCGCGCGAAAAGTCACTAACTCTGGGTCTTAAACAACAAACACTTTCGATAACCAGTGAAAGAAATACCGACAACTATCGTAAGAGTGTTGCTCCAATTAAAAAAGAAAATGGTATCAGCGGTGACGCTTAATACATCAGTCGAAAATTATATGTGCGACTTTTGTCTTAAATTTCACCTCTCAAAAGACTGCGACTTAAGTATTTCAGAGAAACACAAAGCATTATACGATCAATTTAAGTGCAAGCGCTGTTTAAAAAAAGGGTCACAAAAAACCATTTTGTAAGGCAAAGTGGGTTAAATGTAATATTTGAAAATCTTTGTCGCATTTAGAGAGCCTGTGTGATGCAGATGGGCAAGAAAATAAATCCATTAAAAATACTGCGAGCGCAGCAAAAGAGACAAACGTTAGTTCATTATTCCTCGAAACACTGAGCAAGCAAATTCCTAATGACGTGATTTATTATCAAACATGAGAGGTGAACTGGTAGGAAATAATTCCACATTTAACGTTAGGTTGTTATGCGATTCTGCGTCCGAAAGATCTTATGTTTGTCAGTCTATTTCCAGAAAAGCAAGTTTACCAACTATTGGTAAAGAAAGATTAAGAATTCATACATTTGCATCTTCGCATCCGCCAGTGCGAGAATTTAAAAGAAAAAGACTTTCTTTAAAAAATAAGACCGGGTTCCCTCTAATCATCGAAGCACTCGAAGTAAAAACCATATGTTCCAATGCATTACCCAGGCCATCTGCAGAAATTATAAATAATCTTCGCCAACAAGGATTTCACTTATCTGACAGCTGCGATAGTGAAGTGGCAGAGGTACAGATTTTAATTGGGAATGATTACTTGAACTGCATTTTAACGGGGAAAACACATCGGTTAACAGACTATTTAGTACTGCATGAAAGCATATTCGGTTGGACACTGAGTGGTAGAGTGGGGGGAGAGAGTAAAAAGCTAAGTTCAGGGTCAGACTCCACCGGCTTGTTTATACATATCGATTCGGAAGAGGAATTAAAAATATCGGAACAGATTCGTCAGCTTTGGGAGATTGAAAGTCTAGGAATCTCTGAGTGCGCGTCGGAAAGGAGTTTTGGCGATGAGCGAATAATTAAACAATTTGAAGAGGATTTGAAATATGTAGACGGAAGGTATGAGGCTCGCTTGTTGTGGAATAGGAGTCCAGAGCATTTGGAAAATAATTTTGGTTTAGCGAAAAGGCAGTTCGAAAGGGTGCAGCGAGAGTTAAAAGGTAACAGCTTTGTGAGGGAACAGTTTATGGAAATAATTAAATTTCAGACACAAAACAACATTATTCAAGAGTGTGAGGATACGAGAGAGGGGTACTTTATGCCATTCCGAGCAGTGATCCGTAAAGATAAAAAAAGCACTCAAGTTCGAATGGTATTTAATTGCAGCAGTTGCGAAAGAGGAAAGCTATCGTTAAACGAATGCTTAGAAAAAGGCCCAAACCTAAATCCGAATATTTTGGTTATCATTCTTGCCTTTCGAAAATTTAAAATTGGATTCTGCGGTGACATAGAAAAGGCGTTTTTGATGATTGGGATAGCAAGGGAAGATAGGCAATATTTAAAATTGCTCTGGTATCCTGATAATGACAATGAGAACTTTAAAATTATGCAAATGAACAGAGTATTATTTGGATGTAATTGTTCACCGCTTTTATTGAGTGCAACGATCAAACATCATTTAAAGAAATGTGCGGAAACAAACAAAAATTGTGTCGAGATGTTAAATAGCTCACTGTATGCAGACGATTTGTGTTATGGAGGGGTAAGTGTAGAATCAGCTTTCAGTCTTTCATCAGAGGCGGTATCTATTTTGAGAGACGCGAGTTTTAATTTGAGAAAGCTAAACACTAATTCTAAAGAGCTGTATGACTTGTGGGTTCAGAAAGGGTTGTGCGAAGAAAGTAGGTCTGAGAGAGGTAGTAAGTTGAAAGTGTTAGGCTTGGTGTGGAACTTAGAAGGGGATGGTTTGAGAGTAGACGTTACATCATTGTTGAGTAGTTTAGAATCGTTGAGAAATAGTAAAAGATCGGTGTTAAGCACAGCAGTCAAGGTGTTTGACCCAGTAGGATTTATTTCTCCATTTGTGGTGCGAGTTACGAGACTGATGCAAGAAATATGGGAGAGAGGTTTGGAGTGGGATGCAGAGTTGCCAAAGGAGTTACGGTGCAAATGGATAAAGTGGTGCGCTGAAATTGAGGAATTAAACGCGTTGAAAATAGAGAGGTATTACTTTACAGAAGTTCTAAGTAAAGGTCAGTCGGTTGAAATTCATATTTTCAGTGATGCGTCAGTAGTGGCATATGGAGCGGTGGCATATTTTAGATATAAGAATGAGAGAGGAGAGATATGTACGTCGTTTATAATGTCGAAGAGTAGGATAGCTCCGTTAAAAAAGTTTTGTCCCTCCCTAGGATGGAATTGCTGGGGGATGTAGTTGCAGCTAGGTTAGGGAAACATTTATTGAAAATGTTTCAGGATTTGGTAGGTAGGTTAGTTCTGTGGACGGACTTCGAAATTTGCTTGTGGTGGATAAAGGGGTCAGCGCGTGAGTGGAAGCAGTTCGTGTCGAATAGAGTTGCAGAAATACAAGACTGTACCTCGCCTGATAAGTGGAAATATTGTCCAGGGTCGGAAAATCCAGCAGATAAATTAACTCGTGGTGAAACAGCAAATGCATTGGTGAAAGATAATAACTGGTGGCATGGTCCATCATGGTTGAAAGATTCTAAAGATCAATGGCCTGAGCAGAAGTTTAAAGTAGAAACTGATACTCAAAATTTGGAACGTTTAAGCACTTATGTTCAGGTGACATTCCAGAAGAAGAAAATGCGTTAAACTACCAAATTCAGCAGTCTCGAAAAATTGTTGAGAGTTACAGCTTGGGTAAAGCGGTTTGTCGCCAAGCTAAGAAAACGTGCCTGTGAAGAAGGTACTCTTACTGTATTGGAGATCCAAGAAGCTGAGGAGTACTGGATAAAACAAGTACAGAGAGCGAATTACTTTTCGGATATTCAACAATTAGAGAGGAATAATCTAATAACACAGATTCTAAGCTTTACAGTTTAGCACCATATCTGGACAGTAGAGGTATTTTGCGCGTCAGAGGTCGTTTGGACCAAGCAGAATTAATATATGACGAAAAACATTCATTATTCTGCCCAAAACGAAGTTCACCGAACTAGTGATATTTAGTGAACACATAAAATTATTCCATTCAGGAGTCATGGCAACATTGTCCAAAGTCAGGAATAAATTTTGGATACCTAAAGGAAGACAAGTAGTAAAGAAAGTTATTAACGCTTGCCTGGTGTGTAAAAAGTTCGCAGTGAAGCCCGCCAAACAGTTAACGTGTCATTTACCCAGAGATCGTGTAGTCCAAAGTAATCCTTTCACAGTTGTAGGCGTCGACTTAACGGGAGCAGTTACTATTAGAGAAAAAGCGGATAACCACAAAAAGGTGTACATAGCCTTATTTACATGCGCCGTCACTCGTGCTGTGCACATTGAAGTGGTTTCAGATATGTCAGCAAAAAGTTTCATTTTTTCATTACAACGTTTTTTAGCAAGAAGAGGGAGCTGCAAAGTGATTTATTCAGATAATACCAAGAATTTCCGCAGCACATGTGAAATAATTAAAGGATTTAAAAGAATCAAAGCAGATCCAAGTGTGAGAGATTTCTTGACATCCAAAGAGGTAACATGGAAATTCATACCTGAGCGTTCTCCATGGTGGGGAGGGTTCTGGGAGCCTTTGATGAGAAGCGTCAAGGAACCTCTGAAGAAAATCTTAGGGAGAGCATTACTGACTTTCGAAGAGCTCTCTACAATATTAACTGAACTCGAGTGTGTGCTAAATAATATACCTTTAAAATACGAGAGCAACGAGCTGGGTGAACCTCGCCCGCTCACACCTTCACAGTTTTTATTGCCAGGACGTGGTACATTTAACTTTCCCGAGCATTTCTTGGAAATTTTTAACAAGGTATCCGACAAAGAGACTTTAACTAGGAGGAAGCTTTACCAATCTAAGCTCTTAAAATTAACATGGATCAAGTGGAAAGAGCAATATTTACTCCATCTTAGAAATGCGCATAACTTTGCTAATCCTAAAACTGAGCGGAACCTTAAGACTGGAGACGTTGTGTTGGTAGAAGGACCAAAACAATCCAAACTACTTTGGGACATGGGTGTAATTGAAAACGTGATTATAGGAAGACATGGAACATGTTCGAGCGTGTCCTCGTTCGCACGCCCAAAGGACAAATCAGAAGATCGATCCAGATGTTATATCCTTTCGAGATTTAATTTAGAACCTTTTGATATTATTTTTTATTATACTATTAATTATTATGTTCATTTGTGGCTTTGATATATACTAGTATAGATTATTCTTTTATATTATTCATTTATATATGTCATACCATTTAGTATTAATCCATTATTAATTAATGTTGATATTGTTATGTAAGTAAGTTTGTGTACTCTTATTAAAGAGTACAGGTGGGGAGTGATGTAGAAAAAAGAGATAGAGGGCGCTGCGCCGCCCGTATGTTTAGCTAATTAAGAGTTTTCAGTAGAGAGGTTGATGGGAGTGGTTGAGAATGGCATAAACTAGATACTCTGTAATCTGTGCTATATAATATTTGTACATAGCCTTCTCTTCATTAAATAGATTTAGTTAAAGGAAAGTGTCTTTGTTTGGCCAATAGAACACAAGAACCACCGATAAAAGAAGATGTAAGTAAGTTATTACACTGTACGCCGGCCCCTTGGGGTGGTAGTTTTCGGGTTCCTGTCTTTTCCGTTTGGTCCCTGGACGGCTGGTCTTGGCGGACTCCGGTCTGGATACTTGCTTGAATTTTTTCTGCTGGTGCCAATCTTTTCTTTCCTCTTGCTGTCTTTTTCTTCTCGTGAACGGCGGCCTTGTTTGCTCCTGACAATCTGGCCCTGGAGTGGTTTCCTCGACGCAGATTTTCTACTGTGGGAAGTTGTACCTGATCTTTTCCTCTTTACCAAAGATTCTTTAAGAGGCGGCGTTGATTTCCTGCACTTCTTGAATGCTGAAGTGTGACCATTTTCCTTCCTTCTTTTCGGGACCCTAGAATTACTTGTAGAAGGGCTAGGTTCCCCTTCTGTTCTCTGCTTCTTGGGTGGTGGAGCGGGCGGCGTTAATTCTGGAATTTCCACTTCTTTTGCGCTTGAGTCTTGTAAGAAACTTTTAAGGATTTCAAAATCATTTTGATTATAATATTTTTTCACCTGGTCGGGACTTGCTTTACAGATTTCCCCTCTCTCGTTCTTAAGGTACAATACGACTCCTTTGATTTCCTGTAATTACATAGGGGCCTTCAAACTTTGGAGCCAATTTTGCAGTGAAATTGTCTGGGGCACTTGATAAAGAAAATTTCCGCTTTAACACTTTATCCCCTACTTTAAAATCTGCTTCACGGCGTTTTCGATCATAGTAAAGTTTCTGTCTATTTCTTGCCGTATCCGAACTTTTAACCGCCTGATCAATAAGTTTCTGCACATCTTTTTGTTTGAATTCTTGCTTCCCTTTGTTGCACAAAGAATAATTTATCTAAAGGCGTAATTAACTTTCGTCCTAAAAATAATTCTGCTGGAGTTTTTCCCGTAGTATCATGATTTGCCGTTCTTAAAGCATAAGCTAACTTCATTTATGTAGCCATCCCAGCGCTTGTGATGTGTGCTAACATAACTTCGAATTATTTTTACAATGTTTTTTATTAACTCTTTCTGCTATGTTTGCCTGTGGTCTATACGGAAACCATTTTGATATGGCGTATGCCAAGTCCATTGCATATGTTTTCAAATATTTGGCTAACGAATTGTTTACCGTTATCGCTAATGACTTTTATCGGTGCACCGTATTTTAAAATGTATCTGTGTAAGAATGCATCTGCGACTGTTTTGGCTGACGCGCGTTTAAGTGGAACAATTTCTTCTGTCCATTTTGAAAAATGATCTACAATTACTAAAAGAAAACGATTTTTATTTAACTCGCTCTGGGGAAAAGGACCAAGAAGATCTATGCCTAAAATTTCATTCGGAAATGTAGCGCGAATGCTATTTAGTACCCGGCCGGGCTGTAATTAATATCATTTATTAACTGACATTGATTGCAGGACCTGACATACGCAGTTACTATTTTGTATAATTGCGGGAAATATACCGCCTCGCGTACCCTTTTTATAGTCTTTCTGACCCCTAAATGACCCGCTGTTTTCGCGTCGTGTAATTCCTTCAAAATGCTTAATCGAAGCGAGGCTGGGATGACTGGTCTATACTCAAAATTTTCGTTTGTTGTTTTCGTATAAAAAATAATAATTATCTATTATTTCATAGTTTTCTGCTCTATTTCTTATTGCATCGATATCTGTAAGTTCAAAGCTTTCGGGGTCTTTCAAATAAGCATAGATACTTCCAAATTCAGGATCAGCTTTCAGTTCAGCAATAATTGTATCTCTAGAATCTAAAATTTTTGAAGTCAACACAGCGCATTTGAAGTTCATTCCCTTCATCGTCCAGTTTTATACGGGAAAGTGCGTCAGCTACATTGTTTTCCTTTCCTGGTTTATATTTAATTATGAGATTATATTCTTGAAGTTTTAAAGCCCATCTTATTAACCTGGGCGTTAGGTTTTTTCCCCGAGTAAAGTCTACCAACAGCCGCATGATCCGAAAAGACTGTTACTGGCGCTTTGCCGAAATAAACTCGAAATTTGTGTACAGCCATTAATACGGCTAATGTTTCTCTCTCCGTAGCTGTATAATTCCTTTGCGTAGAATTCAAAGTTTTACTAAAAAATGCCAAAGGATGGCCCATTCTTGCATGAAGAACCGCACCTGCACGGCATAGTCCGACGCATCTGCTGCAATTTTCCAGGTTTTCGTCCCCTTCCGGGAATTTCAAAAACAGGGGCATTGATGAGTGCTTCTTTTAATCTTTCAAATGCTGTATTTGCTTCCGCTGTCCACGTAAATTACTTTTTTTTCTTTTAATTACTAACAACACTTCAACACAATATTCGCGAAATCTTTTATGAACGACCGATAATAAGAACATAACCCAAGGAAAGAAGAAAGTTTCTTGGCGGTGTTGGGCGGTGGGAAATTCTTGATGGCTTTTATTTTTGAATCTTGAGTTTCTATACCCTTTTGCGAAATTTTATAACCCAGATATTTAAGTTCTTTAGTCGCGAACTTGCATTTTGAGGCGTTAATTGTAAGACCGGCCTCTTTTAATAATTTAAAAACCTCTTCCAGATCTTTAATGTGTTGTTCCAACGTACTACTCGTTATAATTATATCATCTAGATAGATTAAAGTCGATTTTCCTAGGACAGGCTTTAGAACAATGTCCATAGCTCTCTGGAATGTTGACGGGGCCCCACACAACCCAAAGGCATGCGTAAAAATGCATAAGTGCCCGATTTTGTGATAAACGCGGTTTTATGTATATCTTCGGTCTCATAGCTATTTGATAGTAGCCAGAAGTTAAGTCCAACGTAGTCATATATCTCGTAGACTTTAATCTTTCTAATAATTTCCTCTATACCGGCAAAGGGTAAACTGGGAATTTAGTTAATACTATTAAGCTTTTCTGTTAATCGATAGCAAACCTCCAAGCCCTTTTATCTGAAGGAGGGAAATCGTTCTTTTATCGTTCTTTTTCCTACATAGTACGACTGGACTCGCGTACTCACTATTTATGGGCGTTATTATTGGTTCTTTAACATTTCCTGAATATGTTCCTCAATAATTTGCTCTTTCTGTTGATCATACCGGTAGGGTTTAGTCCTACAGGGTTTATTCGGCAGTTAGTTGTATATCATGTGTTACAGTTTGACAGTTACCAGGCCGTTTCTGAAAACAAGTTTGAAAAAGTATTCACCACTTGCTGGATGGCTTGGCTTTCATGGTCACTTCAAATGGCTAAGGTCTACCTTGAGGTTCTTTCACTGGCTTCCACCACCCTCCGATCCATTTCCAGCATGATCGAATTCTCCTGAAAATTTAGCTTTGGCTTTCGCGGCCCTTTAAAAACTCCATACCTAAGAATGACTCGATTTGTAAATTTTTTCACCACAAAAATTAATACTTTAAGGCTTCATCTTTTATCCTGTATTTTTAATGATAATTTCCCGATACATTGACAGATTTTTCCTTGGGCCGCTATAATTTCTGTATTTTTATTTTTAAATAATCGTAATCCTATTAAAATTCTTATTGAAAAATTTATCACTCATAAAATTACCTTCTGCCCCTGTATCAATGAGGGCTTCCACTGGTACATCGCCAACCAGGACTTGTATAATTGGTAATTGTGAATTCTTTACCACGACCGTATTTAGGTATCTTCTTGAGGGTTTTTTCGAAACTTCCGGGGTCTGGACCCTCGCTTTTACAGGCCCCTCTAATCGTTTAAAGCTTTCTTTTCAACTTCAGTCTTTTGGGTACGCGGACGGTTTTGTTTTCAAATTTCCTTTTTGTGCCTTGACCTTCGAGCTTCGATGAGTTGGCTTGATAGCTCTTTCCCCCATAAGAGCGATTTGTGTTTCCGGTCTGTTGATTTGAGAATTGCCTTCGGGGACCTTGAGAATACGATGCCCCTCTAGATTTTTCCACTATTCTTCGGTTTTGGAACTTGACCGCCAACTCGAAGAGTTCCTGCAAGGTGCTTGGATTTCGGAATTTCCAAAGTAATCTTGGACAGCAGGTAGCAATCTTGGTAAAATTATTTCAATTATCTCCGTGTCGGGTTTCTTTCCATACAGCATGTCCGTCAGCTTAACTTTTCGCAGAATAAAGTCCGTCAAATCTTCTATATTACCGTTGATAAAAACTATACAATTCGGCTTCTAGCTTTGCTCGGTCTTTCACTATGGGGAAGGCCTTTAATAACGATATTTTTGAAAATTTTCAAAGGTATATGTTTGGCCTTCCGAATTCTCCTAATAAAAATTTGCCCTATTCTCTTCCACCATAGTGAGGCCTGTCCTCTTAGTGCAGACGTGGCGATGGCAACTTTTTGTCTTTCAAGCACAGGGTATAACTGGAAGTGATTTTCAAGGCCTTCTAAGAATATCGCCACCGAATCTTTTCCGTCGAAATTGACGTTTGGCTTGATAGATGCTCTCATCGTTTGGACCAGATATCCAAATCCTTCTAACTAGTTCGCCATTTCTTGCTGTTGGAGTTGTACAGGAGCTTCCATCCAGTTATCGGCCATCTAAGTTCGTAAGATGTTCGGGCGCCAGTGTTGTATGGTTTGGCCCCCAACTTGTCAACAACTATGGTAGTGACTGCTTTGAACTGTAAATTACGCAAACTCGTAAGAAGGGTTTAAAGCCCTTTTTATTCCACTTTAAAAATAACAGCTGCGTTCACTTGACGCTCACAAACTACGCCGACCCTGCGGTTTAACAAAAACAGAACTGTGAAACTAAAAATTAATGACAGGATGAATAAACAACTAGATCACTACCTACGAGGCTCTGAAATCGTAACTAACTTAACCGCGTTCTAAAATACAGCTGAGTTTCAGCGAGCCTACTGATTAAGTAGTTGAAAGATTTAACGAACTGCCGAGATAGGTACACAGGCCGAAACGCGCGGTTCCTAAATTTCTATCTAGCAACCTTCACGTTAGCGATTCAAGAAGCACACTTACAAACTCGTTTCCCTTCTACTTAAACTCAACTTACTTCTGCTAAAATTTGAATATACTGCGCGTTCTACTACAATTTACATACTCTGGCATTGGGAATTCTAGGGGAAAGCAAAGCCTTGACAGGAAAGATAGCTTAAACTTAAAATAAATGTTAGTTAAAATAAGTATAAACCCTACAACTGTACACATGATGCGAACAAACTTCAGAGTGGTGAACAAAACGTATCAGATCTTCTTGTGGATGAAAAGTCTGAAAGGACTGAATCTGCAGACTGTGATATTGGGTAGAAGTAGAAGTAGAGGAATTCAAAGAATCTACCTCCACATTCATGTTGCACACGGAGAAAGAAAAAAAAAATTACAAAGCAGCCACATAGCTTTCTTTGAAAAAAATTTATAAAGGCTGATAGAGCTGAAGTTCAAGCTCAAGCTCAAACTTTAGAGTTAAGATTCTAGAGAAGTGCTGCTGTATACAATTCTATAGAAATTTAATAAAGCTTTCACAGATCAGAATTCTGACGAGATGCTGCTTTGCAAAAACATACAGAAGAACTGAGAAGGCGGGAGAAATACCTTATATACTCCCCCTTTAAAGGGCGACTGAGGTTTTTAGGGGAACCAATCGCCAAATCCTGGGTGTGAAGACTCATCATCCAACACCCTTTTAGTTCGGGCGCCATTGTAGAGACATTAGGATTTTTTTGGAGTAGGCAAGATGAAAAATTAGCAACGCGTTCGGAATAAAATCGCGGACCTCTGGAATACGCGTGCAGCATGCAGAGCACCACACCACGAAGGCACGCCAAGAAGGCGGGAGAAATACCATATAACCTACACATATTTCTATAGAATCCCTGTACGCAACTCTATAGCAGCTACATCCAGAACGTTATAGAATTCTATAGAAGAGCTTTGACCTAGTTTGTAGACAATTGAACCATATTTCTGAAGGACTCAAAAGAAATTGGGCTTCGGATATTTTTACAGAATTCTTATACAATTTTATAAAATAACTTATATAATTTTATAAAATTATAAGACATTTTTGCAAGAGTTAGTGGATATTAAAACCCGGCCCGAGTTACCAGTGTTCAGTGATTTATCACTCGGTGGCTGGCAAGCAGTTGCTGTTCTGAATGTTAATAAATGCATTGCGGATATTTTGAATTCTCCACAGATGCATGGCTAATGTCCTTGTCATAATCTGAACGTAGCTGATAAAGGTACAAGAGAAAACTGCACACACAGAATCATTTTTCTCTGACGCTACTCCCTTAACTCGGTTGGTTTATACCAGAGGCCTTTTATGAGGACTTCCATCTCTCCCTGCCCCCTTTACGTCTCTTAAACACGTGAATGAGAACAGGTGCGAAATTTAAAGATCCTCACCACTGATGTCTCCGCAGAAAGTACCTCAGAATAACAGCGGAAAAAAAATTGGTAATGACTTGAGAGGGATTACCTCCACATTTTTTAAGCGCACAACACATTTATCACAAGTCTTTCATAGAGAAATGGGATCATTCAATTATAATTCTCCTTACTCATTTATTAAACTGGTATTTAAATGTGAGAATCTGAAAGCCATCTAATGATATCTGATATGATTTTTAAGATTATGATGCAGCAGAATTAAATAAAATTAGAATTTCTGTTAATTTATTTACATGTTACGAACTTTATGATTGCTTTAAATAATGTTAAAAGATTATACTGCACATTTTTTAAAAGTTACGTTTGGATTTAATAGAACCTAATTACCATTTTAACTCAATTAATTCAAATCAGTTTTAATCCCAAGAAGAAGAGGAAGATATCCCGACACGTTTTTGAATCTTAAGAAAAATACTGTAAATATATTGGATAAACCACCTGAATATTATACTAAGAAAGAATCTGTAAATAAACAATAATATACCTGAAAATATAAACCTAAATAGCATATTTACAAAATATTTTTACAGTAAAATAAAATCATAAAAAAATGCTAAGAAAGCTGGAGGAATACCTTAATTCCCTCTACCCACTGACTTTCATTCCCAATTTATTCTTAACAACAACAGAAGGATTTGAAGCTCTATGAATATGGTGCTTCTGGCTATCCTTTCGTTACATATTTGGCGCCCCACCTGTATTTTAAAAATATAAACGTACTGATCGTAACGGTTGCTAAAAACATTGCTTTCGAATGGGCAAGAATAAGATTATCAGCGAAATATTCTAATTTGTGAAAGTGATCTCTGCTTGAAAAATGTTAGACAAACGCCGCTGTATTGAAAAATGGAATGAAACTGATTCAGCTCTTTAATAGGACTTCAAATCTTCGAATAAATGTAACATGAATTAGAAAATTACTTGTATTCTACTATGATAAAAAAGTAACAGAAACTATTTAAGAAAATAAAAAAGTTTTAACTTACAGATTAATAGTATTTCTTATGTCGCCTTCAGAGTAATCCTTTTTGGCTGATATGCCAGTATTTCTACCAATCCTAGAAACTTGTTTTAAAATTATATTCATGAAATTCCTTCAGTACATGATATGGATTTACTTTTATTGTATCAGTAGGTTCAAAATGATGACTACGAAGCGGCAACATTAACCATGGAAATATGGAAAAGACTCGCTGTGGATTTTCTTCCACTGCAGTCTCAAAATGAAGACAATGAAAAGGCAGCTTTCATGGAAATACGAGAAAACTACACAGTGTCATATCAGGAGAATACAGAGCTTTCAAGGCTGTATTTGTAGAATTGTGGCCAAAAATTCACGAGCAATAAGTACATTGTGAACAGATGCATAAATGGGGTGTAAAATTCATGAATTACCTCACCACGATTGTAATCGTTTTTTACGAACTGCGTCATGCAAACTCTGCGAAGCCTTAAGTAATATTCCTTATCAACGAATTGGTTAGTTAATATTCATGATAAACAGACACTAAGATAATTTAAGAAAACGGTCGCTTTGTTTTTGACAAAGTCTTTCTGGTCTTGTTTCAGTACTTCAATTCCCTTTCAATTATCATTAAGCTGACTCTTTTCAAAATTATAGTTCCATATTATAGTACTAAGCCTGTACTAAGCCTGTACTGCCATCAAGAGAGGTTTAAATAAAATCTGTGCCCTTTCTCAAAGCCTAATTTTGGGAGTTCTACATTAGCATGTTTTCTTCCCAGTTAAGTTGTGAGAATAACCATATTGTAACGGAAATACGTAGCTCGGATGTGTGGCTCTTGAAATACCATCGACTGATTCGTTCGATACAACATTCCGCAAATTTTCAATCTATTCGTGAAATCCGTGAAATGAAGAATTATTTAAAAAAAAAAAAAAAAAAAATCAAAGTGGCTCGATTTGTTTCAACAAAGATTTTGTAAAAAAAAATTGTAAAGTATGCACGCATTTATTATTTTGAAAAATGATGAGATTGATATTAATTTGACAATATTGCCATATACTTTCAGTTTTCTTCTAGAAGAATCCGCAGTATCTAAGTTAATAAAACGAATCAATAAAATGAAATATGTCTGTTATTTTAAAAAGATAATAAGTATCTCCTTAAGTGACCAGTTGTGGATTTATGAATAAGACTTCTCAACAATTATCCGGTCCCCCGAAATCTAGGTCTTTTGTTGCGATTTCCCCTATTCGAGCAGACGAATCTGGTGGCTGCTCAACCAAGACCATGAGAAGTAAAAAACTGAAGAAACCATTTGTTGTTAGGCTCTTCTGCGAGCAAGGTGCTTTGGTAGCATTACATAAGACTTCAGTAAGAAAGTTTCTTTGTGTCAATAAAAATACATTTCAAGTTCCGCTGTGAGGATGATGGTACTACAGGCGACTAATTATATACATATGATAGAACCGGTGCAAAACTTGGATATATTTGCCATCCCTGTGTTGGTTATTTTGTTGAAATTGGGAGTTTTATGATTCATTACTGTAGAAAATTTTTCAGAGGTAAGTTAATATTCCAGAAATTTCTTTTAAGTTATTTTTTGGAAAGAAATTTTACAATTTATGAAAATACTCGAAAATTTTACTTTATTCAGTTTTAATCAATTTCATTCGACATAGAAATAATGCATATCTACCAAAGCATAGAAAAATATTTTTCGTAAATATTAATCCCGAATGATTAATAAATAATTAGCAGTAATTAATTGTTATGCTATCATTGATAGTAATTGGTCGGCAATAATGAAAATTAACGACAGTTGTAAAAATGGTTAACAGTATTGCGCTCATTTGTCATTTTTAGTCAAAACTGCGATACACTACGTTACGTTTTTAAAGTATATATCGTTTAAGCGACCTGCCAAATATTGCATTACAAAAGATTATTTATTTATTTATTTTATTTTGTCTTGATGCAGAATGTACAACTGTCTAATATGATGCTAAGTGAAACAAAATTAATATTTTAGAAAAGCAAAAACAAATTTATGTAACCTCAGTAACGTATTATATTATCAAGTTAATTAAAGCGCATAATTATCTTATGGACTAATTTACTGAAGAAATTAGCTATCTGAATGATAACTATCTGATGATAGTTATCATTCAGATAGCTATCTGATGATTTATCTATATAGTATAAAATTTTAGTTTTAAAAAAGAAAAAAAAGAAAGAGTTTAATCATGCAGTCGAAATCCAGAAAGAAGACTTAACATTTTGGTGTTTTTATATATTTTTTTGACACACTTTTGTAGCTATTATCAAAATATAAGTACTTCTTTTTTCACAATGTAATACTACTAGTAATCTGAACCTAGTTTAATAAATTATGGCTATAGCAATAACTGGTCGAGAATTTATTCAATTATCTTCGATAAATTTTTGAGGGTTTTATAAGATTTTGTAAATATCAAATTTTTTCATGAATGTTGGATAAATTCGTAAACTTCGTATTTTTCTACTATTTTTTAATTTTTATTATAACTGCTGGGTTATTTTTATACTACCAAAATATTTGGAAATTTATTTTTCACTAAAATTTCCGCAAAAATACCCATAAAAAATTCTTATTCTAAAATCCAGGCTAGAAGGCAGGAAAAGTGAGCAACGCCTTCTCTGGGAATCGAACACGGACGTCTCGAATACGCGCCGAGTGCGGTGGTCATTACACCCCGAAGGCATGCTAAGAACGTGGGAGAAGTACCTTATATACTTCCCCTTTTAAAGGTCGACTGGGGTTTATTGGACCCAATCGCTAAATCCTGGTGGTGAAGAATCATCATTCACCACCTTTTAGTTCGGGAGCCACTGTAGAGACATTAGGTTATTTCGAAGCAGGAGAGAGATGAAAAATGAGCAACGCCTTCGCTGGGAATCGAACCACGGACCTTTCCTTATAAACTATATTCTAACTATTCGCTTTATTACTTTGTTTTCTGATATTAGTCATATTGATTATATTATCTCCTAATATAAATTTAGTAGAATGTATCAAAATGAAGTAACCCAGAAGTATGAAATTTAATTCCGAAAAAATTTTTTTAAGGGACTTAAATTTAAATCATGGAATAAAATTTTTTAAAGGGACTTGAATTTAAATCATGAAAAAAAATCCGAAAATTCTTTTAAAGGTTCTTAAATATAAATCATGAAAAATAAAAAATTCAAACTTTGAAAAAGAAAATAAATAAACCAAGCAGTTACCATCATTAATCGGAAATTAGTTGACTTTTCGAGGGGAATAAACCAACCTCCGTTCAATGAACAATAATTAATAAATGCGAAGGAGTTTTGTCTTTTACTCAAGTAAGAATGATTGTAGTTCCGTTAAGTTATTGGATTTTTAGAAAACTTGAGATATTAAAGTCAAATTGTAAAGTACTAAAGAATTCATTTTGAATGTAGCATTTTCATTAAGTCAATGGACTTTTTTAGAAATCTTGAGTGAATAGCCAAATTATGTAGTAAAAATTACACGATACTTGAGTAAAGTGTCCCCCTACACCCTCGCTTTCATGCATGTTAATTCAAAACTATTTTTATATAAATATAATAAGCAGTAGTTAATCTTAACTAGACTTATGAGACAGAACGCAAAGTAATTGAAATAAACATAAGAAACATAAGAAACTGTGCTATTTTTGCAAAATTAATGATATAAAAAATGAAAAATTGAAATATACGAAATAAGACGCAATAAAATGTACATGAAATACAAAAAGGCCAGAATATGAATTAATTAATTTACTTACTGCAAGTATTAGAAAATCTTTTTTTTTTTTTTATTTCAATGAATTTCAGTTCATTTAATATATATATATATAATTTATATACTCGTATATATATTTAACTTTATCTTTCAACTACTTTAATAGTCTAATTAAAATGAAGAAAATTTAATAACAGGCATGATATAATTGTTTTTTAAATGAATTATTTATGTAACTGAAAGCATCACTATTTTCTCATCCAATTACTGACCGACAAAACATCCTTTCATAGCGGCGCATCCCCCTCTCCTTGATGAATGGGTGCAAAGTTAAATGTATGATGATTTCTCACATTAAAAGTCAGTCATTATCCATCAAAACTATTACATTACTGAATATTAATGCAGGAAGAACCTGAAAGAAAATATTCTTCTAGCCTACTTCTGGCATCATGTAATCAGTGTTTCGAAAACTTCACCCTCTGGCAATGAAAAGTAACGCAAATAATCCAATTAGCAATCCTGTCATTCGCATTTACTACAGATGACCTTTTATTTATGCGTCACTTTTATTTTAATTACTACCAGCCTAGTATCTTGATCAATTACAATCACTTTTTTTTTTGAATATACTGTAACAGCAGTGTCAATCAAAAGTACTTTTTATTCTGTAATTTTATTAAGAAGTAACGTTTAATCAGTTAAGAATTCCAGAAGCCTTGATATGGATCTACTCCTTTTGGCTTCCTATGGCTTCACATGTCATCAAAGATCTATGGCATGAAGTTTATTAACAAGGCGATATCCTTTAGGATGTAATAGTTAGCAGATACGGGTCATGATTGAAATCAACCCAAATTGTGATAGGAAATTATTTTTCCAAAGATTAGATTATTAATTATATTTGTCCGAAATCTAAGGACGGAGAGTATTTTTACATCTGCATAAAAACGTATTTTATAAATGACATACGAACTGAACTTTAATAAATATTTTTGCAAAAATTAGGAAACATTTTCCGAAGATCACAGTTGGAGCACGGGTATAAGTTGTTTCCCAATAAAAATGAAATGAAGAGACTAGTTGGAGGACGTATATAAGTTGTTTCCCAATAAAAATAAAATGAGACTAGTTGGAGAACCTATATAAGTTGTTTCCCAATAAAAATGAAACAGATACACATCAGTGTAGGACGTGTTGAATTTCTTAAAGCTTCGCGATAAGCCTTGAGTCACATGATCATGGTAAGCTTGCTTTAGTTGGCAGAAAATAGTATCAGATCAGTAATGCTCTTTAATTAACGACTTGATAAGTCTTTCAAATCTGCTGCTTCCACGAAACCAAACTATTTTTCAGTTTTTTACTGACTATTTCCCAGCAGTCAGTTTCATCTTCAAATTCTCTTTTCAGATATTTATCTGAAGTACGATTTACTTACGATTCACTTACGATTTTGACCAGCTGTTAATGTTTAAAAAAAATTTAACAGATTACAAGAATGAAGCTTCTATTATACAGTGTGCCCATAATTTATTGACCGGATAAAAATATATTTTAAATAATACATAATAAGAGATAGGGGAAAAAAGACTGAATGAATTTTATTTAGCACGTCAAAGAATTTTATAATTATACTCTTCAACATGAGCCTCATTAGTTGCTTGGAGAATATCAAGTCTGTTCTCGATTTCCCTCCATACTCATATTAAGCATTTGCAAAATCATGGTACCTGTTTCTGTGGTGATTCCATATTTTAGTTCTTCAATGCTGCGAATCTCTGCAGCATAAACTCGATTCTTCAAGTGTACCCCAAAACAGAAGTCGAGTAGTGTGATATCTAGAGAACGGAGTGGCAATGAAATTGGTCCACCTTGAATCCAACGATTTCGAAATGTTTCATCAAGGAAATCACGCACATGTCTAGCCCAATCACAAGAGTCCTCCATCCTGTTGAGGGAAAAAATTGACTGCATTTCTTCTAATTGCTGTACAGCAAACAATTTCAGCATATCGAAGTAAATCTCCAAACTGATTCATCTTGACTTCTTTTCCAAGGAAAAGAAGTTAAACAATTACCTTGTTATGAGTTACTGCGAATCAAACGTTAACTTGAGGTCTACCTTGCTTAATTTTTCTTACAAAATGCGAGTTTTCGGACACCTAAATTTTGCCGTTATATCGAATAATCTGTCCTCAAATATGAAACACTTCATCACTGAAAACGGTCTTTTGAAGAAAGTGATCATCATTACTGATACAGTCAAGAATGTCTACAGAAACGTCCTTATGAACAATCGACCTGGGAATTCCAAGTCTGCAAGCTTGTACTGCGAATGGATTTACTGGGACTCAGGACAAACACATCTCGAATAGCGGAAACATTTTCCTTACCATCATTTGGGCTAGCTGCACCTTTTTTACGCAAAATATTTTTTACGCAAAACCTGTTTTACGCAAAATTGTCTCTCGAAAACCATTTGTTAAATGGTTTTTCATTAAACTCATGTTGGTATCTCCTATGAATTATTTTAAGAGATTTGGTTTCTTATGACCAACGAATGTACACTGCTTTTTACTGCATGGCGCCATTTCGACTGTAAATAAACAAGTTCTCTGTTGCCATTCCTAAAAACTAGAACAAATGAAATTCCTTGAATTAAAGTCTATATCGATTAACTAAAGACGGAAGATTAAAATGAATTAAAGATTATGCATATATATTTCAGGTTACTTTGAAAAATTACATTTCAATTTAGTTTTGTTATCCTGTGATTAATTTATGGACATTTTGTACAATATCAGAAATGTTACTACTAGTTCACGAAAATTAAATCAGATCACCACTTTTTCCACTAACTTCATTGGAAGAGAGAATAAGAAAATATTTTGTAAGAATGCAATTTCCACTGGTCCCTCTAATTTAACATATTCATTCGTATCACCCAAATGCCTACCCACATTGGGTTGCGTGCTTCCCGCATCATGTGTCGACTTCCTCCTCTTTTTACCCACCCTTTGTTGTTGGCTGCTACTCATGCACTCACGGGTTTCTCAGTCTGAACTCTGATAGGGATCAACAAAGTTGAAGCAAACAGAGTGATAGAATGGTTAGAGACAATATCACCTAGGCTTTCACACAATATTGGTAGATAGTCAACATATTCGTCAAAGAGGTCTTATTGATCGACTGCGTAAATTTACGCAGTCTAAACTCAAATTTACATATAAACGTAAAATTACATATAAGTGACATCAATAAACAAAAGGCTAGTACTTAGGTATTGCCACATGTAAAATATAGGTTTTAATGCTAGTTAGTTTAACTGTCACATTACTGTGCGGAATCTTAGATATTTTACAGATCCATTTTTGATGCATTCAGATTTTTACGGGAAGAAATTTTTTTAATCTATTGAAAATAAGAGCTATGTAAAGAGAAGAAAACATAGCATTATTACAAAGTTCCCATTTAGCAATGATCATCCAACATCTCTAAAGATTTATTAAATTTATTGGTGCGGGAAACGTTAAAAAAAATCATTTGCGCCATTGTTTGGATTCGAACCACGGATCTTCTAGGGATTCTCCTGGCATTAGGTTTTCCAGAAGGACATGCTAACGACTTACAATTAGGAAAGTATGCATAGGAAAATGCGATAACTCCTTGTAAATTTATGCTTTTCAATTTTCCCTCAAAGCATTTCTTTGAGATTTATAAGCGTCGTATTTCAGATACGTGTTCACTACTTCGAACAACATCTTTAGGTCTCAATAAACAGCAACCCAAGTTAGGGGAACGCAGTCGTCATAAATGGTAAGATGCTTAGCCATTTTATAACTTTCTTGGGAATGTTTATTTATTACAAGATGCAATGCAGAGAAAAAGAACTTCTACTGAGAGCTTTTTTTGGTACTACTCACAACTTCAGTTGGCTGAGTTTCATTAATTCTATTTCAGTTGTAAGATGTGAAGCATTACTATAGCACAGGGATGGCCAAACTTCATATCAGTAAGAATAGCATATTCAAATTCAAGTTCGAGAGCCGCAATTAGAGTTTCCAAAATCTGCAATTCCATATCAATATCATATTAAAAATAGTGTGTTATTTTGAAGCAGGAGCATCAAAAAGGAGCAATGCTCTCTCCGGGATTCAAACCCTGGACCTGTCAAATACGGGTAGAGTATACTTCAAATTACACCAAGAAGGCATCTGGAAAGGAGGGAGAAAATACCTTATAAGTGAAAAGAGATTAAAATGGAAAGAAACGCCTGGTTCTAAATTGTCAATGACAGTTTTCCTTAATTCTTTTGGACACTGAGTAGTTTTAGTTTACAATATTTCATTTATATATTTTATTTGCAAAAGAACCACACCACTCGCCATCGAGAGTTCCACGCGTCTTGTGAGTTATGCTATGGCCATCCCCTACTATAGTGCACACCACAATAATGAGAAAAAATTCACTTTATGTTAGTGATTTTACCAGGATTCTGCTTAACATTTTACTTCGATTATTCCAAAATGAGGAAGCCAAGTTGTGTTGGAATAATCAGTTTTTATGTTTGAAAGAAGATTATTTCAAGCTGTCTTAAGTAAATCATTTATTAGTGAATTTTACCCTTTGACTATCTAAAAATTCGCTGATACAAATAGAGATTCTTACTCAGAATAAGATGAATCAATGGTCTAATTCTCCTGTCTGAGAACTTGTCAACAAACAACAATCAAGCAGGTCAATTAGAAACAGGAAAAGAGAGAAGTGAGAAAGGAAAAGGCATGTTGGTTTCTCACTCCCTCAAGGAGTTGATTTAAATGATTTATTTAACATATACCTGAGTAATATTCAATAAACTTGTTTCATTAGGATTTTTCACTGTTTACAGTTTTCCGACATGTAGATATCCTTCTCTGAAATTAAACGGATCAACAGTTCTTTTTTCTGTCTCAAGTAAAATTAAGTTCACAATTAATTTACTGAAGTGCTTGTGATTTTTGTTGATTTAAATGGTTAAAAAATAAAATTAAATAGCACATTTTTGCTATTTCATAAGCTGAGTTATTAAACTAGTTACTTTTAACACCAGTTATCGGGTGCTGAAATTCTCCGGAACATTAATATTTCTTTCCAGGCCGAGTAAAATTAAGCTCCTAATTATTACATTCATATTTTTCGTTGACTTAAATAATTTAAAAAAGATAATTACATAATATATACTTGATTTACTGTTTTATTACTTTATTTCAATAAAAACAATACCTCAGTTTAATTTTCATAGAATAAAAACAAGTTATGTATATTATTTTAAAGAAATAGAAATAATTTCTTTGTTTAAGTTTAATATTGTAAAAATAAAAAAAAAAAATTGTTACGAGTTTAGTTTATGAGCAAAAAAAGGGAACAAATAAAGAAAAATTAATAAACTTTTTAAAATTTTAATTAAAAGAAAGAAATGGATTCAAAGTTTCAATAAAAGGCAATATCCTTGTTTGATTACAGTACATTAAAAATATAAACACTGTATTTTTACTGTACTGAAATCAAACATTATAGCTCTAATTCCTGGGCATAAGCAAATAAAAATTAATTTAATTGTTTTACTTAGAATAGAAATCGTTTGTTAAATAAAAAAAAGTAATTTTGTTGTTTAATTTTAGTACAGTAAAAATAAAATTATGAGTTAATTTCTGGATGTATGTAAATAAATTTAATCATTTTATTTTAATTGAAATAGAAATGGGTTGTGTGTTTGGACAAATAAAAAGTAATTTCTTTGGTTAATTTTAGCATAATAAAAGAACATTAAGTAATTTCGTTGCTTAATTTTAACACAATAAAAATAAAAACAATTTTATGAATTTAATTTCTGAATTCAAGTACGTAAAAACTAATCTAGTTTTTCTATTTGAAATGAAATAGAAAATGGCTGCTGGTTTAGGCGAATGAAAAGTAATTTATTTGTTTATTTTTATCGGAGGGGAGGAAGGTGCATTTTGTAGAACTAAATATATTTAATTTCATAATGACATGTAACATTTTAAAGGAAATAGATTGAAGGGAAAAAATAAAACTCTTTTACTTTAGCGTGAGTATGTATTTGGCCTGCAAAAATAATAAGGCAATCTAACTATCTGAATTTTTTTTAATATTCAGATGAGCTGTAGGCTAATTAATTAGTTTGAATATTTGAAGCTCTGGTCTACATTGTTAAGAATGGATTTAAAGTACAGAATGTAAATTATAAGCAAAGAAGACGAAGTTACTCTCTAATATTTTTTTAATTTATGTTTTAATTTTAACTCGATACTTGTGATAGAAGGAAAATGAAATTTGGAACTGATATTATTATTATTTTCAGGTAACCGTATAAAAATGAGCTTTGAAGAAAACTGTTACCAGATACAGTAATGCACCCAGGCTAACGATAGCAGAAGAGCTCCTACAGCTGTTCGGAGCCATCTTCTGTACAGTTTCCTTCTGCATAACTAAACAATGACTATCGTCTGCAACGGCGGGAACATCAGGTCAAGCGGGGAGAACTTAACCGTACCTACAAAAATCTCGCGCATGCAGCACATACAGAACGAAATCAAATTAGCTGGTAGGGAACTGACATCACTGCCAGACTGCGTACGGCAAAATGTCCAGTTGAAGATTCTGGACTTGTCGTACAATTTTTTGGGCAGAACTGGTGACGGTTCCCTCTGTGAACTCTCTGAACTAAGGAATTTGACGCGACTTAACTTATCTGTCAATGAACTGAAGACGATTGCTCTCGACTTTTGTTCTTTTCCATTTTTGGAAGTACTCTGTCTGTCTGGGAATGAACTAGAATACTTATCTGAAGGAATTGTGACTTTACATAGGTAAGTGTACATTGAATATTAATTGCATAATTAATATTACAGTTGAAATTCTATGCATAGATTTATTCAAATTATTTTTAAATTCTTCGTTTTTTCATAAAATATTAACCACTACATTTTGAAAATCTTGGAGCACAAAATTTCAAATAATGTATGAAAACTTTAATAGAATTTTTAGTGTTTTAAAAGTATTTTAAAAATGTCCGTACAAGAAATAAATCTGGAGAATTTTCTTAGTTGAAAATTCATTGAAATAAAAAATACTTCCAGTTAATAGTATTGCAAATTTGATTACAGTAGCAATTTCAATAAGCATATAATTTTATAGTAGCAGATAATTTTATTACTTATTAACTGGGCCTGAGTAAAAGCTATCGAAAACTTGACTGTAAGAGGATAACTGCATAATACCTCCAAAAGCCCACCAGCAGCCGAGCGGCAAAGTACCTGAACACTGGTATTTCGGTCCGAGGCTCGAGTCCCCGCGAATGAGCTGGCTGTGTGGGCGTTTTTCTGGTTTTTCCCCATGTGTAACATGTATAGGAGCCAGTTTCCCTATGAAAGTCCTCCCCGAAGGGATACCTCCCCTTAGACAGATAGCCCTCGGCTTTGCCATAATCACATAAACAAATATAAACAACCGTAATACTTAAAGGCATTAAGTTATTAAACTCTTTCGCATAATAACATTTGATACGTTACTGTGCTTATGATGATCTAAATAGGTCGTCTGTAAAACTAGTTATAATACAGTGTACCCGAAAATTATCAAAATGTGTGGTTATAACAAGCAAGGAAAAAAAAACTTGAAACATTCCGACTCTTAGTCCAAACAAGCATTCGATATTAAAAGTATTAAAATTCTTAGTTTGTCTATGTAAACAATTTATTACATTTAGCAGAATTTGTTTGACATTATATTTTAATCTGTTACTTAGTTACGCGTAGGTCCGGATTAGACTTTTAAAGGCTCTAAGCACTTACAAGAGTTTTGGTGCCCCACATGTATTTACACACTTTTTTCCCATTCTTTCATCCGCGATCTTATTAGCTACACCATACATTCCATGGTAAAACCGGCAATAGGAAATTTTGAGCTGCCCTCTTTTGATGATACCCTGCAGACTTTTTTTTTTTTTTTTTTTTTTTTTGTTTTTTAGTCCAAAGGGATTTGAATCCCGAAGGACTATTAGTTTCGTTTTGGCATTTTGCGTCGGACTCATAAATGTCGGTTCACTTTTCAAACTGTTGCCACAAAATGTTAGAGTCCTGCATTATATTTGAAGAAATTAAATAATGAAAAATCTGCATAAATGTATGTATATTTCTCTTATTGTGATAAAACAACGGTACATAGAGTCATCGAATTTTGAATAACGTAATCCTCCAACGAATATGAGCATGTGGAAGACCAAATTTGAAATTTGAAATTTATTTTATGATCGATTTCCTATTTTTTAAAACTTTGACGAATTTTTGATTAACAAACTCAAGGATTTCAAAGCGAGCAATGGCAACGTTGTGCAGAAAAAACATTTTTATCTCCAGCGCGTGAGTCTCTGTATCGCAAATTCTAAAGATATGCTCGTTTTAAAACTATTTTGCAATATTGCTGTTGCACTGGATCTTATGGTTTAAGTGCGAGGAACATGATATTTAATAAAGAAAGGTAACACACAAAATGTTAAAAAACGCCCCTTTGGACGTAATTTAAAATCTGAAACATTTCAGATTTTTTTTTTTTTTTTTTTGTTTTTGTTTTTTTTACGTGGTGACATGATGTTTTGGTTAAGTTAAATCCAAAGTATTCGTAATCGTATTTAAGATCATAGATTGTAAATAACCAGAAGTGAGTCTAAAATGTAAGATTCCAATGATCTGTCTTTAAGTAGATTTTATGCTGATGCCAAAAATTGATCTATAAAAATAGATAATAATAATATAAAAGAAGATACATAAGAACTGACTATAACTGAAGTGTGAGCTTAGAAGATCACAAGATTACATCAGCGGGAAATTCTGAATTATAAAATTGTTTATCTTTAGAAATTATTTAAAAATTATTTACGGAGAATTTCTTTTTTTGCTAATGGAAGATTACAAAGGTAAGTGTAAACAGAATAAACTAATATGAAAGAGAACAGCAATACTAAAATTAGCAGAGGAAACGGGCTTAATAATTCGCATTCATGTAAGCAATTTTCAAATCTAATTTATTTATGTTCGATCCAAATCTAAACGTTGCAAAGAGTTATCGCATTCCGTCTTGCATGCTGTCAGCTATCATGGTGGAAGTTTTAGCACATCCAGCAAGCAATTTAAGCACATCCAGTAAAGATCCATGGCTGGATCTCGAGAGTGGCATATTTAATTTTTTTTTTTACATTTCCTAGTTCCGAAAATTTAAATTTTGAAAGTTTAAATGCAGATGAATAATAAACATTGGTTTAGTAGCATTAATATTTTCAGCATATTCGTAATTTTTGTTAAATTTAATACAAATTAATATATATTTTCTTATTTAATTGCAATTCTGTAGTATTAACACTTGGATGATTGATCTAAATTCATATCTCTATATCGTAATCAGGCATCAATGTTACTATGATTAGATTTGTGTTCAATAACACCGCGGAATGAGTTTTGTTTATTTAACTATGGCGAAACTTATGAGGACTATTTGCCTAAGGGTTATTATGCAGCCGGGTTGTTCGTTGGTTGTATAATTATTAGCGTTCATCGACTTTACCACTCGGCCGTCGTGGACTCAGTAGATTTGGTTTGGTTTCATTAGATTACGGCAAAGCATTCGAGGGCTCTCTGCCTTAAGGGAGGGATGCTTTCGTGGAGGACTTTCTAAGGGAAACTGGCTCGTATACACGTTACACATAAGGAAAACCACGAAAATGACCATGCAGCCAGCCCATTCGAGGGATTCGAACCTCAGACCGAACTACCAGTGTTCAGCGACGTTACCGCTCGTGGGCCGAACTCAGTAGGAACTGCTTTTGCTGGCGCATGCTAAAACTGAACACGTCGAATGGATCAGCTTTCTGTCAATTGGGGTTCTATTATTTTAAAGAAGAAGTCTTAAGATAAAAAGTTGGGTTACGTGAATAAACATACGTGAACTTAGTTCTTATTTTATTGAAGCCAAATACACTTTTATAGAATCTAAGGTTAAATGAGGAGTATGAAACTGAAGCATTAGTTAATATTCTGTAGTTAGTCAAAAGGTAACTATGCACAATTTAAGTTTTCAAAATCAATTAAATGAAATGAAATTAAGTTTTTAAAATCGAATTCTGGCATTAACTTTTGTTGCTAAACCATCAAATTGGTTCTGAAAATGCCACTGCATCTCATTACATTTTGTAAAATTGTTTCTTATAAAACTGATGATAATAAAAATCGGAAAACATGTTATATTAATATTACTTTAGCAAAAATTGTAGTAAAACTGATATTTTTTATAATAATTAAACATTTCTATTCGTTACTCATAGCATCAATTTTTGATTAAGTTTGTATGAATCTTAACAACGCAAATTAGTTCACTATTTTAACTATCGAATTTTTCTGTGTTCTAAAATTAGTAAAAATTATTTCTTTTTATTTCGCAAAAACTTTTGAAGGAATATCGACAACAAAGTACTCGAGGGCTTAGACAACACTTAAGCTTTTGTGTATTGTGTATTTGTTTGTTTGTATATAGCTAAGCGTACAAAGGTTATGATTAATTACAAAGGTTACATTAGTAAGATATCCACACAAAGGTTACATTACTAAGATATCCATCAAAGGTTACATTACTAAGATATCCATACAAAGGTTACATAACTAAGATATCCATACAAAGGTTACATAACTAAGATATTCATACAAAGGTTACATTACTAAGATATCTAGATATCATACAAGGTTACATAACTACAGGTTACATAACTAAGATATCCATACAAAGGTTACATACTAAGATATCCATAAGTTACATAAGATATCATACAAAGGTTACATACTAAGATATCCATACAAATATCAAAGGTTACATAACTAAGGTTACATACTAAGATATCTAACATACAAGGTTACATTACAAGATACATACAAAGGTTATATCCATACAGATATCATACATACTAAGATATCATACAAAGGTTACATACAGATATCCATACAAATATCATACAGGTTACATTAAGATACTAATACATTACTAAGATATTACATTACTAAGATATCCATACAAAGGTTACATTACTAAGATATCTATACAAAGGTTACATTACTAAGATATCCATACAAAGATTACATTACTAAGATAACCATACAAAGGTTACATTACTAAGATATTATGATTGTCATCGTGAAAGTCTTTCTAAAGGGAATTGGGTCGTATTTTGCGTAACAATCGCAGAAAATCACCAAGATATCCATGCAGCCAACCATTTTCGGAGATTCGAACCCAGATCGAACCACTAGCGTTTAGTTGTTTCATCAACTCGACCATTTATGAAGCCAGATAGACCCATAATAAAAAAGAATTTCCTATTTAATTTGGCTAAAATTCATGCTGTATAGCATATAAAGAAAAACTGCTTAATCAAATTTGGAAAGGCTACTACAATTTAATGGAACTGAACCTGTGACCACCGGCATAGAACGGAGACACACAGCCAATGTTTATTAACCTTATCCACACTTCCTATACTCTCGTCTGATAGTACTTGCCAGTGATAAAAATAGAAAAAAAAATCTAATGTGTACACCATATGACTTCCTTGTACGGAATATTAAATTATACACATTTTTTCTTGCATTTCATTTAAACTTATTAGATTGAATTAAACCTACTTCGCCTACAACGCATAAACTACAATAGAATAAATGCATTCTTTAAATTCACTTTGTTTACCATAGCGACACTCTGGCTCTAATTTAACTTAACAGTATTATATTTCGTTCATATTATAACTCAGAATGCACAAAATTTATATCAT